GTGCTGTGGTTGTCAAAGAAGATGATCTACTGACCAAAGCCGACATAGCAGCACATCCAAAGGAGGTTAGTGAAGCCTTATATACTGAGCTCAAAATCTGGATTGATAACCGATGCTTTGAGATGTACGATTTATCCAAAGCTTCCAACATCATGACATCCAGATACGTATACAAGTGGAAGTTCGTAAAGATGGGTACCGAGAACGTTAAAACCATTCGTCTCAGACTGGTCCTTCGTGGATTTATGGATACTGAGGCTTTTGATGTGGAAACATTCTCGGGAACCGCCCGAAGGCAGTCCCAACGACTCCTGGCAAGTGAAGCGGCATGTCATCCAGAGTGGATCTTAGCATCCATGGATATCGATAAGGCGTTCCTAAAAGGTTTGACCTATGAGGAACTTGCCCATGCCACCGGCGAGGAAACTCGCATGGTTTGCTTTACTCTTCCACCAGGAAGCGCTCAGGTACTTCGTACCTTACCCGGCTTCTCATCCTACGACGAAAGTCGACACTGTCTTAGATGCCTCAAACCAGGAACGGGTACTAAGGACGCTCCAAGAGCGTTCTCTCTCAAACTTCGTACGACCACACGAGCTATAGGACTTACACCGACCAGCTACGATCCTGAATTTGAATTCAGCCAAGACCTTCTGACGGCAAAACATGTCGATGATATTAACATGACAGGTCTAGAGAAAAATATAGACGACTATGTACAACGTGTCGAAAAGGTATTTGGCAAATGCAAGCTCAACAAGCACACATATACGAACTGCGCCGTTCGCTACACTAAGAATGATCAGGGAGATGTGATCATGGACCAGGACGAGTACATTAAACAACTACGTCCTATCACACACCCAGAACTTACAGGAGCGGCGGCCGACGCCAAAGCCACGAAACTCATTACCGACATGTTCGTCAGCCTGCGAGGAGCCCTCGCCTATGCCCTTCTTACCCAAATCTGGCTTATGGTATATGTGGTCTCTCTTCAGAAAATTCACGAGCCCACCAATTTGCAAGTCAGACGTTTGAATGCTGTGACGCGAAAGCTGATCAGCAGTCCGAAACGTATCACCTTCCCTCGGATGAAGCCGACGAATGAAGTTGACATCCATAGCGATTCGGGGTATCGGAAGCTTACCGGGGAGGAGGATGACGAGACCAAGGGCTACGGCATACGCGGGGCCAACGTACTACGGCGAGGAAACTCGCCCCAAGGCAAGTCCGTCGTTCACCTCTGTGACGGACTATGCAAATCACACCGATTACAGGTGAGGTCCAGTTATGCTGCGGAGGCACTTGCAGCCGCACATAACCTTGATGAGTGTTACCCTACGCTCATTACTCTCCACGAGCTTAAGGCAGGGGCTTTGACTCCACGACAACTACGAGACATGCGTGAAGTTGGAGGCCTTGCTATCAAAGTCTCTCTTACCATAGACGCCGAGTCCGTCTACAAATCTTTATCAAGCAGGGATCTCAAAATACCTACAGAACGGACTCTGCTTGGACATATCAGCTGGATACGTGAGCTCATGGATATAGGTATAGTACATAATGTGCAATGGTGTGATACTAGGGATATGACCGCAGATGGGCATACAAAGGGAAGCATCGATCGGGAGCTGCTTCTGGAAGTGATGTCAGGCACTCAGTCATTTAAGTATGACGTGAAGCAATTTGTTCCCTTTCGGGGTCCCGAGGACAGAGACAAACCTAAGTCTAATCAATTTTAGTCTGTCCTTGTTGCCCTCGCGGTCCAGTTTGCCAGCACGGGCGCCTACTATAAAGGCGCCCCTCTAGTTGCTCGGAAACGAGCCTTATATTTCACGCCTGGCAACGAGCCGGCTTCGTATAACTCAGGCTCTTTGCCTTAATACACATTTGCTTGGTGAGGTATGGCCTAATTTTGGCTTACCTCTAACTGAGCCGATAGCCCTTCATTGTTTGAAGGGGCTGTCCTGTATTTGCGTGAAATACTTTGCGAGGAAACTCGCCTTACAGTCTGGTGTTTGACCAGACTGTACGCACTGTTTTCTTTTTTGCAAACAGTCGTGCGCGCGATCTTTGCGTGCGACTATGCTCTCCGTCTCCTCCCCTCCCGACTTTAAGGGTAGCTCTTTGGGAGATGTTACAGTATCGGGAGCATAGCTCGCGCGCCGTTGCCTTTGGCCCAAGGCACGCGCGCCCTATTTGCCCGGACACCGCGAGTGTTCGCTATGTGCTGGACAGATCATTACATCGATCTTATCCTATCTTATCCATCCACCCCTCATACTGTACCTGCACCGCAGAGCGATGGATGCAATTTGCCAGGCTATATGCCATATTTGAGCTACCAGGCTCACTTTCGACTGAGGAGACGTTTTAGACCTCCGCCGCCCAGAGCGCTGATGGCATTTTAAAGGTACCGCAATGAACCCTTGCGGTGCTGAGGCGAGAGGCCAACTTCGAGAACCTCTCGCCCTCTTCTCCCGTAATTCGTTCAGCTTGTACGACGAATTTTCGCTGCGCGAACGCTACAACCCATTTTTGAAGACGGCACGCCTTCCATCTGTGCAACTGTCACAAGCTATCAGACGAATGTGCGCTGCGTTACGGCGAGAGCTTCACTTTGAAAACGCCCTGCCCTCCATCCCTGTAGCTGTTCCGACCTTCCAGCCTCATGCTCAGAAGTTGACAGAGGGTACTCGGCGCAGCGCCCTGCCCGCCTTGCCAATACCTCTGGTGGTCAGACGAGGAGAGCCCATCCCCTAAACAGTGCTGCGCTTGGGGTTTCTTATTTCTGTTTCGGGGGTGGACAGCGCCCCCAACAGTGACACGTCGATTAGTGAATTGTCCGTTTTTGGTTCTCGAGAGGGCGCCGTGGCCGTTATTTTCCAGGCTTGCGCCCGCCAGGTTTGGGCCTCAGGTCGTTTTCACTAAACCACGTTTTACTAAAGGGGGGTCTGTCCGTCCCCGACTGTTCTACGGAATTGGCCCTGAATGGCGGTCTGGCGGCCATATTGTCGCCGCCGCCGCCCCGTCGCAGCGTTTTCACCGCCCGTCGTCTGGGCCTGCATGGCGGCCTGGCGGCTGTGCTGTCGCCGTCGCCGCCCCGCCGCCGCCCAGCGTCTGGGCCCGAATGGCGGCTAGGGTGTCGCCGTCGTCGCCTCGTCGACGGCTTCGTCTGGCCCTGAGTGTTGGCCTGACGGCTATTGTGCACAGCATAGATTGCACCACAAATTTTGCACCACACAGATTGCATCATCTATGGAACACGTAGATTGCACCACACGGGTTGCACAACATCGACTGAATAACCTAGATTGCACGATCTAGATTGAACAGCGTAGTTCGAACAACATAGATTGCACCGCTTGTACTGCACCAGATAGATGAAACCACATCGATTGCACACCGTAGGTTTGCCCATATAGATTGCACCACTTTGATTACACCACGTACCTTGCACCACATAAGTTGCACAACTTATACTGCACAGCCGATGTTGTCTCACCTACGCTGCATCACAGATACTGCACCCCATAGTTAGCACATCACATATCGTACGACATAGACCGCACCACATAGAGTGTGAAATATATTTTGGTCCACTCAGATTGCATCACTTACGCATTATACATTGTACATTGTAGACTGCAAAACATCGAGCACACATAATAAATAGCCCTCATAGTCTGCCCCATCGTCCTCCCACATATGAACGCAGACCATCCCAGGCAGGCCGGTATCGGCCCCGACCCGCATCCTCAGCAAAAATTGCTATGCGCGCGCAGTCGCTTATCAACAATACAAGTTGACAATGATCCATTGCAGAAAAATGGGACGAAGTGTCCACGCGCGCGTCATCGCGCGCGCATGCCGAAATCTTTCAAAAAAACTCAGGTCCCGTAGGGATTTCAAAGTCGAGCGTGCCGAAAACATCAGAACTAACACATGGTCTCGCAACCAGTTGCTTAAAAACATAATTAAAAAACAGTTCTAATCACAAGCTTGCCATCGGGCTCCCGCGAATTCTTAAGAAAACCTTCGGTTTTCATAACTTGCTACCAAGCGGGCCTCTCGCGCACGCACGTCGGAGTCGTTCGAACGCCCTTGCGCGCGTGCTGTCAAACATGGAAACAGGACGAAGTGTACACGCTAGCGGTCGCGCGCGCATGCCGAAATCCTTCAAATAGCTAAGGCGTCGTAAGGATTTCACAATCGATCGCCCCGAAAGCATGTAAAGCACACATGGTTTAGCAACATCAGTTTTCAAAAATGCCTGCGCTCGCGATCCTGCGAATTCTTACGGGAGCCAAAGGATTTCAACGTTCCCATTCAATTCTGCCAAACGGGCCCCTCGCGCCGCACATCAGAATCATTTGAACGCCCTTGCGCGCGTGCAAAGGGGCCACGACCTGTTGCAAATAACACTATGCGGGCGACTCTCGCGCGTCGGCCGCGCGCGCATGTCGAACTCCCTCCAAAGCCTGCATTACCGACGCGAGGGCGCCGTAATCGTCGTCGGCGTGATCAGCATCGGCGCATCATTGGCCTCGCCGTCGTCGTTGTCATCATCGTCAGCAGCATCGCTACCATCATCACGTCGACCGTTGTCGACGTTACCGTGATACCGCGCCGGCCCAAGTCGCCGATTCGCACTGAAGTGCCTGCCGTGAAGTGCCCAGCGGTCAGCGCCACCGCGGCCGCGTCGGCAGCGCCAAGCTATCTGGCCGCTCCCCAAGCACTAATCGCAATCGCCGCCGCATGGGTTTTGCAAACGAAGTTCTGGACAGGTGGGTGGGACGATTGCGCGAGCAGTGGAATGGGCAATTCACTGCGAACTGAAATCATTGCACTACGTAGAGAGCACAACATAGGTTGCCCTACATGGATAGCAGATCCAATATTGCTAGAACGCACACTTTTGGGGGTCCACGCTGACTAACGAACGAGGATGGAGAAAGAGAACAGGAGGGAGGGGAAGAGAGAGAGGAGGTCGAGGGGAGGCATCGACGTCCGCGTCCAGAACCTCATCCGGCGCAGGGCCACGGCGATGAAGGCAGACTGGCTCGAGCGGCAGGCTGGGGCAGAGCTGGGCGACAACGGCGACGGCGCCATGAAAGCCGCGGGCTCCCAGGACTGACGCAAGCCTCAAGCAAAGCAGTGCTGTTTGCTGCGATTTCGTGGGCCGTTCTCGTTTTGATTTCGTTTCGCAGCAAGGGTGGGAACGAAGACAGAACGAAAGAAGACGAAAGCACAACGAAAGCGACAAACACTGTTTGGAGCGAGCACTGAAGTGGTGATCCGAAGCCCCCAGCACCACGGGACAGATCACGGCGGCCGGCCCCCTGCTTGCTTCCAGGGTGCCCTGGGTCTCTTGTTCTCCGATCGTTTTGCTGTGGAGAAAGCGCGGCGTTCCCACACCAGAAAGGAGTGGTCGTCCTGGGGCTCCAGGGTTGAGGTTCTCGTGGACGGTCTCTTGTGGTCGAGCTTCCACCGTGAGCAGCGCCCCGTCAGGAGGCAAAGACCCCTGCGGCCCGGTCGTCCAAGTCCTTCCACACGGCTTTTTCGGGGGCGTCGGACGACGCGGGCGGCTCCGGCGACGAGGGCCCCCGCGCGAGGGCTGGCGGGGCCTACAGCTCCGACCCTCGCGTGCGGACCACGGGGAGGCGGCCGACGGACCCCTCCTCTTCTGGGAGGATGGCGACAACGAGAAGGGGGAGGAGGGGGAGGAGGAGGAGGACGAGGGGGAGGAGGAGGAGGAGGAGGAGGAGGAGGAGGAGGAGGAGAGGAGGAGGAGGACGAGGACGAGGACGAGGAGAGGAGGAAACGAAGAGGAGGAGGAGGAGGAGGAGGAGGAGGCAGCGGTACTTCTGCTCGTCCTGGAGAGCCCTCGTCGCCACGGCCAGAGTCGCCTCGAGATGATGGCCAGAATGTGCCCCGGGAGAGGTCTAGGGAGCAGTGGTGCTGGCAGTGTCCGGTTGATCCGGATGAGGAGGATCCAGGTTCGCAAAATGGTGCGGGCAAGATCAGGCCTGGACACAGTATTTTCCGCCATCCTCTTCCTCCTCCTCCTCCTCCTTCTTCTCCTCCTCCTCCTCCTCCTCCTCCTCCGCCTCCTTCTCCTCCTTCTCTCCCTCATCCTCCTCCTCCTCCTTCTCCTCCTCCTCCTCCTCCTCCTCCTCCTCCTTATCCTCCTCCCCCTTCTGCTCCTCCTCCCCCTTCTCTTCCTCCTCCTCCCCCGACGAGGGCTCTCCAGGACGAGCAGAAGTACCAGTCCAAACACGGCGCACAACCAGGGGGGTGGCGCTCTGGGCACGCGTCGCCCTCTGCCACGTCCGCGCCCACCCGCGGAGGCCCCCCTGGTTGGCATCGGAACTGCGGGGATCGCCCCGCGCTCTTTGAGGGGGAGGCCCCTCGGAAGACGAGGCTCGAAGAAAGAAAAAAACACATACACATAAACTGTAGGCGATCCGTGCGGATTTCTTGTATCCGCGCTGGGCCCCCCCCCCCCGGCGGCGCCTCCGGCGCCGCCCTTGGCGCGCTCCGCGCGCCAGGGAGGGAGATCCAGCGCTGATCCAAGGAATCCGCCTGGAGTACCGAAATTTGTATGTTAATGTGTTTTGTTTCGTCTAGAGGCAGGATTTCCAAATCTGGCTTAGAGGGTTGGGAAGGGCACGGCCTGCTCAGAGCCTGGGCGCTGGCAGTGCCGTACCCCCTGCAGCGATCACGAGACAACACTCCTCGCAGCGCCCCGAGACTGGGGCAGCTCGCCGCTCGCGGGCACAGTGGATGGCGGCTCAACGGAGCCCACTGCCCCGACACGCGACTGCTCCCACGGAGTGGGCCCCGGAAAGCAAAAGGTTTCATTCACGGACGGAGCAGCACAAACGTGAACCTCTATTACTCCATTGACCCTCTCCGGCAGACAGGGCGGGTCTCGCGAGCGCAGCAGGAGGAGTGAGCACCGTGGTTCTGCGGTCCTCGCCCGAGACGCCCGAGGCGCTGTGCCACCAGGACCATGCAGCTGATGGTCTGATGGGTCTGTTTTCCTCCACCACCACCACCATAAGTTGGAGGGGGAAGGAGAAGGAGGAGGAGGAGGAGGAGGAGGAGGAGGAGGAGGAGGAGGAGGGGGGGGGAGGAGGGAGAGGAGGAGGAGGAGGGAGGAGGACGAGGAGGAAAAGGAGAGGAGAGGAGGAGGAGGAGGAGGAGGAGGAGGAGGAGGAGGAGGAGGAGGAGGAGGGGGAGGAGGAGGAGGAGGAGGAGGAAGAGGAGGAGGAGGAGGAGGAGGAGGATCGGAGGCGAGCGAGGGGGGAAATGAGAAGGAGAAGGCCTTCTCAGAAGGTGGCGGGACTTCTCAGAAGGCCTCTGGCCTTCTGAGAGGTTTTTTTTTGTCCTCAGGGACAGCTTGGAAAACTTCTTAGAAGTCCCGGGAACTTCCGAGCCTTCTGAGAAGGCCTTCTCCTTCTCATTTCCCCTCTGGGCGCGCCGCCTAGAGAAGGAGGAGGAGGAGGAGGAGGAGGAGGAGGAGGAGGAGGACCCCCTCCCCCTCCAACTTATGGTGGTGGTAGTCGAAAACAGGCCTAGCATGATCACCTCCTTGTTGATAGCCACCGAGCAGCAGAGGATCGATCCAGACAGACGATCGGCCTCCCGAGCATGCTGAGCTATGGAATTGTTGACGCTTCGCGTATCCCCACCAGCCCATCCAGAAACGATGCTCAGGGGAGTTGAGGTGATCAGGGAAGTCGGGGAGCATGCAGAATAACAAAGGGCGGGGGAAGCTGTCACAGACCCCGAGAGGGGGAGGATGGAAGAGGAGTCGTCGTCGTCGTCGTCGAGAGGAGGAGGAGGAGGGGGAAGAGGAGGAGGAGGAGGAGGAGGAGGAGGACGGAGAAGGAGGAAGAATCGGAGGAGGAGGAGGAGGAGGGGAAGGAGCTTCTTGGGGGTCTTTTGAGGGCCTCTTGGAGGGCTTTTTGGGCGCCTTGGGGCATCTTGGGCGCCTCTTGGGACCCTCTTGAGGCGCTCTGGGGAGCCTTCGGGGCGCTTTTGGGGCCATCTTGGAGGGAGTCGATCAAACAAGAGGGGGGGTTTAATTAGCGTCCCCCCTCGGAAGCCCCTAAAATCGCCTCTTGGACCCCTCTTGGAACGCTCTTGGAGTGCTCTTGGGCGCTCTTGGGGCCGTCTTGGGGCTCTTTTGGGGCTCTCTTGGGGCCCTCTTGGGCCATCTTGGAACCATCTCCAGGCCTCGGATGGCCATCGGAAGCGAAAAGGCGAGAAAGCAAAAATCATTGATTTTCCTTAGGTTTTGGGACGATTTTGGCCTCTTCGGGGCCTCCTTGGGGAGCTGTTTGGCCACTTGGAGTTATCTTGGGGCCGTCTTTGGGCTTCTTGGAACCATCTTAGGAGCCATCGTGAGCGATCTTGCGCTATCTTAAGCCATCTTGGAGCTCATCTTGGGTTCTCTGAGGCGCTCTTGGAGCCGTCTTGGGCCATCTTGGACGCTCTAACTACCCGCGGCCCCCCCCGTCCAGGTCCAGGGGAGGGGGTAGGGGGAGGGGTAAACCCCTCCCCAAGGGGGAAGAGGGAGGGGTGGAAGAGGATCTGTTCTAGACCACCTACGCCCAGAGGGCTGGTGGGACTTGGAGGGGCGGCGGCGTCCGCCACCCGTCCTTTCAGAGAAGCCGGCGGCCCCAGTCAAAACCCAAGCAGCTTGGCCAATGGCGACGATCTCCTGCAGCCCAGGCGTGGCGCGAGAGATTTGGTCCACGAAGCAGTGGACTCACCAGGGCCTCGCTGATCGATCGCGCTCCAGGTCATGATCCTCACATCGAGCACATGAGGGAGTCTCTTTCAACCTGGGCTCGTGGCTTGGGCATGGTCCGGCAAAGAGGCGGGTGGTCGGTGTAGCAGGCGATGTCACCATGAGAGCGAGATAGCAAGACCAGGAAAGCGGACAGCACGACCCTGGGACTCAGGAGTGGGGAAGCTGCCACACCAGATAGCATTGAGCTGCCGTTCGTCAGTCACGGGATCTCCGTGCCGACCGACAGCCAATCCGCACTTACGAGTGCGTGTATCTTTTGCGCATTTGCCAGCCAGACCCACCCAATCCCCAGGAGCCCTTCATCGATTGCTTCTTGTTTGCCAGAGTGTTCCCAAGACCAGACTTTGGCGGCGCAGGGACGATCCCCACCTTCGAAGTAAGGCGCTCGGAAGACCACGACTCCAGAGGGCACTCTGCGGAGTAGCGGCAGCAGCACGCTTTTCTTTCAATGGGGAGGAGGTTAGCGCGCCAGTCTAATGAATGAATTCGTTCGCAGGGCACGGCCAACAACGGTGGTACCCCAGAGGAGGAGGAGGAGGAGGAGGAGGAGGGAGGAGGAGGAGGAGGAGGAGTGGAGTGGTTGATGGAGGAGGGGGAGGAGGAGGAGGAGGGGGGAGAGAGAGGAGAAGGAGGAAAGGAGGAGGAGGGGGGGGAGAGGAGGAGGAAAGGAGGAGGAGGAGGAGGAGGAGGAGAGGAGGAGGAGGAGGGGGAGGGGGAGAGGAAGGGGGAGGATGAAAGGGGGAGTAAAACGAGTGGTAGGAGGAGGGGGAGGAGGAGGAGGAGGAGGAGGAGGAGGAGGAGAAGGAGGAGGAGGAAGAGGAGGAGGCATCTGTCGCCATCTCTCCGGGACAGAACCGCCATCGGTTACAGCCACAGCGGGAGGGAGGAGGAGGAGGAGGAGGAGGAGGAGGACTGATCGATTGAACACTCCTCTAGGGGTGAGGGGACTAGGCTTTCTCGCTCTGCCATCCTGTGGCTCCAGGGAAGGGGAGACATCCCGCACCCATCACGCGACCACTCCCCCAAGGGGGGAGCACTCAGCAAGCATGTGGCGAAGAAGGAGGCGGCACGCCACCTGCTGTACTTCCGGCGCTGCTGCGGCAGACCACGAATCTGCAAGAGTACCTTCAAGAGCGCCTGCCCTTGCCTTTGCCTCCAAGCACTTCGGCAGAGGGAGCCCGTCTTGATCCGAACTGTCAGGGTATGATCCATCGCTTCAGCGCTGAAGGTATTGTTCCATCGCTCCACGTCGCTCTGCAAGGATGCGACATATGTGGCGAGGATCGCTTCCGTACACGTGTCAGCGGCATTGATCTTCAATTCGAGATGTGTAACATCCTTGAGCTTCTCGTCGACAGCCTTGACTTCAGGTCGATCGGTTGCTCCTGCTGCTGCAGATGCTGCTGCTGCTGCTGCTGCTGCTGCTGCTGCTGCTGCTGCTGCTTCTCGAAGCCGTCGCTCGCGAGCTCCAGCTTGGCGATTTGCTCAGCGATGTCACCCTCAATATCCACACGAAGCTGCTGGAGCTGAACCAGATTCTGACGCTGCTGCCCCAGCTGCACGTCGAGCTTCGGCGGCGGCGTCTTCGGGGCCCCGTTGCAGGGTCTTGCCCTCGAGCTGCCCCTGCTTACGCCGGACTTCTTATCAATCAACCGGGGGGGGACACACGTGAAGCCGCGGCGCGGCCAACCCTCCCTTGGCACCACCCCCGCGGCCCAGCGGGGAAGGGAACGAACCCCAGACCTCCCCTGGCACCCCCGCGGACCGGACGCGCCGCGGCCACCCCCTCCGGGCACTCCAAGGGGCGATTTTTAAGCGATCCAGAGTATCCTCGCCACTGCGCTCGGAGTCCTTAGGTTCCAGCGCCCTGCGACCTGCAAGAGCTCGAGAAGCGCGGCTGCCTGCCCTCGCGGATGAGCTTCACGATTGTGTCCTTGGCTGAGCGTGCCCAGCCACGCTGCATGCAACCACCTGCTGCACGCAGCCTGCCCTTGGCCTGCTGCACGTCAGGCGCACCCATGGCCATCAAGTGGTCCTCTTCGGCGGGGGAGTCTTCGTCTTCACGGCACTGTTAAGGATCATCAGGCAATGGCGCGATGGCGAGTTCAACCGCCTTCTTGTCATGCCCGTCCAGCTCCTGCGCGCTCGCGATGGCGCGCAGCGCCCCTTGCCAAGCCTGGCAGCGAGCATTCGCGGCGCAGCCATGGCTTCCAAATTCCTGCTGCGCCCGCCAGCCTCGTCAATAGGGCCCACTGTGCTGCTGCGGTGTGTCTGCACTGCGGCGGCGCCGTGAGTTTTAGTTCCGAGGATCGGTCTTGAGGGAAGCGGTTGGCCGCCTGGCCGACTGCTGCCCTCCTCTTTCTCTGGGCGCGGTCCATTGTGGGTCTGCTCTGCTCTGCTGCGGCCCTAGGCTCTTGCCTTCGGTTTCAGCGGGCCGCGCTTGAATCCGGAGCGGTCTCTCGGCAGTGCGCCTCCTCCTCCTCCTCCTCCTCCTCCTCCTCCTCCACCTCTTCCCCCCGTCCTGCCACTCGTGCTGATGCTGCTCATCCTGCTCATCCTGCCGCCGGTCCTGCCCGCCTCTTGCCCGCGGCGGAAGAGGCGGCCGATGGACGATTCCACTGACGACGAGGACGGCGGGGCGCATTCGCGTCGGGCCGAGCCCAGCCGGGCCGTGGTCGCCAAGAAGCCCTCGCCACCGGCCCAGGAGGCTCCTAGTGTCGTCGTAGTGTCGTCGTCGTATCGTCGTCGGTATCGTCGCCGCCGCCGCCGCCTTCGTCGTCGTCGTCGTCGTCGCCATCGTCGTCGTCGTCGTCGTCGTCGTCGTCGTCGTCGTCGGTGTCGTCGGCGTCGTCGCGTCGGCGGCGGTGGTGTCGGCGTCGGCCGTGGTGTCGTCGTCGTCTTCGTCGTCGTGGTCGTGGTGGTAGTCGTCGCGCGTTCTCGTGGGTTGCTCCTTCAGTCGGGTCGGACGAGGGGGGGGGCGATACGGAAAGGGGGCGTTGCGTGAGCTGATTCGCGACCGCCCCCCTCCCGCCCTTTGCTATCCCGCCCTCCGACCTGATGCAGGCTCGCGCTCCCCCCAGCACCGAGGTTGACCTGATGGGCCTGCTGGACGATCCAGTGGCACCAGCGGGGAGCAGAGAACGCGCGCTCCCCCCGCCCTGCTCCGAAGGAGGCAGGGCGGGGAAGAGGGGAGGGATGAGGCAAGGGCTCCCTCGAGGGCGCGAAGTTATTCGCGCTTCGCGCTTCGCGGTCCTCGTTCCTTCTCCTCCTCCTCCTCGTCCTCCTCTTCTCCCCCTTGGGGGGCGGCGCGAGAGCGCGAAGTTATTCGCGCTTCGCGCTTCGCGCAGCGCGAAGCGCGAACTTAGGAGCCCTTGATGAGGCCAAGCCAGGTGCGCTAGCGTCAGATCTGACGTCCTACCCCTCCCTCCCATCCCTTACCATGGCGTAGATCTCTTTTCTGTTCGCACAGACGGATGTCGAGTAGGGCAGTGATCCCAAGAGGGTACGCGAGGATGGAAAAGCATGGCGTAGAAGAGCACGGCAGAGCATATTATGTAGCATGACATGGCATTGCGTAGTGAAGCATTGCATCACAAAGCGTAGGTAGCAACGCAAAGCATGACATCGCACAGCGATGCACAACACAGCATCGCATTGCATGCCGCGTCATGGCACCGGATGACTTGGAGGGTAAGTGACCCGTCTACGAGAGGACTGGGCCTGTCTGGAATGTCCTCCGCAACCGTGCCTGCCCAATGTGGTTGCTTTCGAATGCCAAGTACCGTCTGGAGGCGCGGCAACGTGGCCAGCGCTGCAGCGGGAACACGATGTTGAATGACCGAAGCGCGGAAATGAGGGCGGCGCTGCAGCGGGAGTACCATGTTGGAAGAACCAGAAACGACCAGATTGAAAAAGCACATAGGAGGAAAACACATAATGAAGTGCGGTCTGTAAAATATACGCGGAGAGGACGGGACATTCCCCCGACAGAGTCAGAGGAGAAGAGAGTAGTATTCATGTTGTCTCATTGCTGTCCTCGATCTTCTTCCCGCTCCCGTCCGCGTCCTCCCCCCAACTCCTAGCTGCTCCTCCTCGTCATCACCCTTCTTCTTCCCCCGCGCTAGTGCTGTACGCATTCTCGTTCTCCCAATCCTCCACTCCTTGGCCTAAGTCAGGGTGCGCCCTGGGCGGGGATTGATGAATTAGGTTCCGAGACTGCTCGTGGGCCTCGTCGCCGTACTTGGAGATTCTTGCCTCATCCTCCAGTCTCATTGCGCGATGACAGTCGTCATCTCCTCATTCTACAGCATCATTATCAGCATCACCTGCCTCAATCATCATCATCACCAGCATCAGCATCAGTATCATCATCAGCATCATCAGCAGCAGCACCATCAGCATCATCATCAGCAGCAGTATCATCATCATCATCCTACATCATATATCCCATATTCACAATCATCCTCATATTCTACAACATCACATCATCCTCCAGAAATCCATGATCTGAGTCGTTCCCCCCTGGGG